TTACTATAGTGACTCTATTGCTATGTGCTCACTACTCTTGCCCCTCCAGCCCTCCATTGCATTCTCCAAGTAAAATCACCATTTTGGTTAAATGCAACTCTACTAACTGTGTCCATATCTGACTAGTTGCATGTGGCCTGGGAAAAAGTATCTAATGATCCTTCTGGTGGTGCGAAGATGCTCTCACTTCAAATTTCATTTCACAAATGGGAGGTGAGTGCTCGGCACTGGCTGGCAGTGCGGTAAGTCTCCCACCCCGTCCAGCCTCCCCTCCTGACGGCCAGTTCACACCTGGTCCTCTGTTCAACAGCCCCTCTCTCCTTCTCACTTTCAGATGAAAATACAGTAGCGAGTTATAGGGACGTGGCTCCTGCTCTCATCACAAAGCTGCCCCCTAGTACTTAGACGCCAAGGGCTGGTTATATGCCCCACGCTTTGCAGCCCAGCCAGTGACTCAGCCAGAGCCTCGGAGCCCCTCGGCCCCTCCCTCTCTCTCACTGTCCTCTGACGTTCATGAATCTATCTTCAAAACATACTTGATACCATCAGTTCCTGCCTTCTGTCCTATGCCAGCCCAAGCACCTTTGTGTCTCATTGAGCCATTTGTTATCTACGCAAGTGGCCAGTCAGATTTGCCTGACATAAATCCTGTAACACCACAGGCTCAAACAAAACAGCCTATTCCGTTTATTCTTTAACACGGAATTTCCGAGGCAGGGTATCCTTCTACCTTCTGCTCTGCCTTGCAAGATGTCCAAGCTGCCCACGTCACTCCAGCCAGCCGTTGCATTCAGCCCCCTGATCACAGCCAGGACAGCCGGTGGAGTAAACAGGGAGCGTGCCGCACACCTGTCTGCCTCTCCAGCAAATCCCCACCTCCTGATCACACCCCACCCGAAGTCCTCTCTGAATGAGGACAAAGGACAATAGTTGTCTCTTGCTGTCTAGAAAACTGCTGAATTCTTATACAAAGTAAGAAAAGGAGGAGAGCTGTGTGTGGGTACTAGCAAGGCTTGACACACCTGCGTAGTCACCGCCCCACTTCTGTTTATGCCGTCGCCAGTCCATTCTCCATACAGCAGCCAGTGTGGTATCTCACAGCACAAATCAGAACATGGTACTTTCTTCCTTAAACTATTAGGCAGTTTTCCAACACCCTTAAAATGAAATCAAAGGTCTTTACCATGTCTGTCTTGGTTCTTTATGATCTGCTCCCCAAACAACCCTAGATGCTATCTCCTCTGTTATTCTTCTCGGTCCTCTCTCCTTTCTAGCCATATTGTGTGACACACAAACTTATATCCATATCTGGCCTCTGCACTTTATTTTTCTCCCACACATTTTCCTCTTCTCTTCGGCTGTATTGCTGCTGCCCTACCCCCTCTGAGAGGGCTTCTGTACACCCACCATCCTATAACACCCACCCTCTCCTCCATCCGCCCATATTTTTCCTCCATCCATCTGATCATATGTTTCTATTTGTTTGCTTGTCAGTGTCTGTCATCTATACTTGCTCACTGGCTCCCTAAAGGCAGCATCCACCTGTCTTGTTCACCATCATATCCCCGGTTCCTACAACTGTGCTGGAATATAATAGGACCTAGAATATTTTTTTTTTAAATGAAAGAGGTAATTCTAATGTTGAAGTGTTGGTTTTCCTTTATTTGTAAAATATCAGTATGTTAGCAGAATATATCTGTAATTTAGGAAAGGCTTCAAAGATAACCTTTTTAATGTCTTCATAATATACGATAGTCTTTACAACATCATATATACGGCAATTGAAAACTTTCCCAACTTCAGCTCCATTAATGACTTTCCTTGCAGAAATGAGGTTTAAATGGTACTAATAGATAAGAGGTTGTCCACGAGTTTACTTGTGTATATTGATTTTCTGGAAGTCTTCAGAAATAATACAACTAGTAATTTGAAGTATATTGTTGAATGCTTATCAACTGAACACATATTTTGCATTTCAATTATGAATTGTGCATTCCATTTTAGATAAGTAGTTTTCATATGTGATGTTTAAATATGTATTTTACATTTGTATAAATTGTTTTTTAAATCTTGTTTTTTTTTAATACCTCAGTTGAGTATGTAGTCAAGGAGATTAAGCAAAATATAACACAGGTGAAAAAAACTATTCTTCAATAAGAAGCATGCTTTTAAATTCCTTAGATTACTGAAATCTAACAAATTGGAAAGCCTACAAGAATCTGAAAAGGAATACCCAGTCAGAGTCCCTAGTAAGTTTATATAAAATCATTGACCCTGATCCAAGGATAGACCTCTTTAACACAATCAATACAGGTGCAATCAGATAAGAACATTCTACTGTTTTATTAAAGTGCATCTAATTCAAAACTCAATAACCCTCACACACCCTTAATCAGGGAAGACATCCTGGGAGGTATTTACATAAGTGGTCTTAAAACTCTGGCTTTTGGCTCATTAGCAAGACTTTCTGCAAATCTTTCAGGATCTTGTTTCTTAACAGAATTCTTTTTATCTACCTCCCTATTTTTGATTATTTGTAGATATGTTGAAGTTTTCCTCAAATGGGAAAGAATTCTCCAGGGTTTTCATGTTCGCATTCTCAGGGTGGATATTGAAGGGCTGATCTATATTCCCCGGAGCTGGAGGGACATAGGGGAGGGTGTGCGGGCTCTTGTCTGGAGCTGCTAATAGCATCCCTTCTCCCTCCAGTCCTCCTGGCAGCAGCCCTTGAGAGAATTCGGGGAACTATGTAGCCAGAAGACAATTATCTTGTTTTCAGAAATCATTTGAATCAAAACAATACACACGGAACAAGGCAGAATGAATCTAAAGCGCAGGCTGGAGAGGGAAGGGCACTGTTTATTTCCTGGGGCGCAGTGTTTGGAGTGATCCATGGTGCTCTGCGGCAATGTGTGGGCAATTGTAATTGGGAACAGTCGAGCAGAGCGCTGCTTTATCTTCATTTTGTTAACCTGAAGTCTGTTGAAAACCGAGGTCTAATCTTTAAGGGTAATATTTTTTACTAAACTCTTCTCCCAGCTGGATTAGTCATTTGCTAATTCCTCACAGTCGCCACCTGTGAGAGAAGCTGTAAGAAGTTCAAATCCAAATCCATCACCTGCAGCCAGTGTCTCATCCCAGAGCCCGGACCCAGCGAGGGGGTACTGCCCTTAGCAGTTCTCTCTTTGCAAATACAGCGCAGTGCCTTCTTGTTAGAATGCCTCTACGAAGAGCCTCCTTTGACCTTTTCCAGGGTAAGAACAAGAAATGCCAACATTTCCCTCAAAGCATGAGGAATCTCCTGTTTGTCAGTGTGTTCATCTGCCTGCTTTACTTTGAACACCCGTACTTCCTATCCATGCCGGAGATAAACCCAGGGGACCCTGACACTTAATCACAATCATGCATGTGGTTGAAACTTTCTTTTTCAGGGTCTATGCAGTTTCATTACACACATTCTTTCCCTGGGTTTTCATTTAAGCATTTGCTCTTTCTCTCTCTTTTCTCTCAAGATGCCTACAGTATGCAGAATGATTGCCCCCCAGATATTCACTAAGTTAGCAGTGTGGTGGGAGGGCAAGTGGAGAATTTAGGGTTCATTAGAATTAACCAATCAACTGAGTCACTTATTTATACATTTAGAAAGAGTTCATGTGTACCTGGAATTCTGCTAGATTTTGCCAGAGACTCAAAGAAAACCTGTTCATCAGATGCAGAGTTTCAGTAGGAGGAAAGAAGAAATTACACAAAAACAGGAAGAACAAAAAGAGTATTATGTCATATACATTGTGCCCTGCATAGCCCCAGCAGGGGCTAGTCATATACATTCTAATATGAATGGCTCTGAAAATAGCACCCACTGGAGTTGTGCAGTGAACAACCTGGGCAACTCTGCTAGTGGTCCAGAGAGGAGTAGAGACTTCTCTAGAGGAGCTTTGGAGAGGAGCTCACATTGAATGGAAGGAAGATGGTAGGATGCATAGGAATTAAGCAGGTCATAAGGAGGGGAGAACAGAGCCAACAACATATGGGAAAGATGAGAACTTGGGAAGATCTCGGTATCATTGGGGAAATATTGTGGGGTGGGGCCACTGAAAAGAAGTCACTTACCCCAGTCCTGTTACAGCACCCCACAATATTGCAGCATGGCACTGATATCTCAGGAAGGTAAAGTTTTAACTACCCAGAAGTGTTAAAGGGAGGCCTAACAAGATGAAGAGCATTGCATTCATCAGAATTCTTGAAAGGAGGTGATGTGCTTAGGAAGACTAATTGTGATAAGGTTTTTGAACATGAGACTCCGAGGGCATGCTGAACTACACTAATAAGAACTAGGCAGAACTGTCCTGGTGGGGGGCTGGGGGAGGAGAGGGAGCTCACACACACACATGCACATGCATGTACACACATGTGCACATGAACACATGCACACCCACAGACATGCACACACATGTGTGTACCCACACCTGGGGGAGGAGACACCTGCTGGAAGCTGCCCCAGAAATCCAGCCTGAGGAGTGCTTGAGGGAACAGAGGTCCCACAGAGGTTGTAAAGCTGACTTCTGTGGGGTCAGTGACCTCTGTTCTAATGTGCTTGGTGATGACCCCCTTGCTTACTCTTGGAGTGGGGCCAAGTGGCCCAATTCCATGCACCATGAAGAACTGTTGACCTCTGCAGTGCACTGGTGTGTGGGAGGGACAACGGGCTCCTTCTCCTCCACTCAGGAAAGCTCTGCAGATCACTCAAGCAGGCTGCCCCTGCCCCCGGTTACATACATGTATAAACGCCCCTTGGCAGGGCAGTATTTGGAGAAAGCAGGAAGGTGGGTTGCCCCTACATTATGATGAGGGCCAGGAGGCGGTGACAGATGCTATTTGAGGCACATCGTGGAAAGCCATGTGCATCCTGCTTCACCCCTCCCTAGAGGCATTGTGCCCTGTCAGAGGTTTTTAAACTTCTGCTTTTTAAGTTAAATAAAGTGTACATACAAAAGAGCATACACAATGTGTACACACGTAATGTAATGAAGACAAAGACAACCACCACCTGTGTGCCATCCTCTCGGATTAAGGAGCATCAAGAGCCGTGGTTTCTCCAGTGTGCCCTCCATCTGCCCCCAGCACCCAGAGGCCCAGCGCTGGCACTGACTGTGTACGGACACTTCCCGAGGAACACCATTACTCAGCGGTTCCCAGGTCAGCTTTGCTTTTGGGGGCACTGGGGGATGGGGGCAGTGGAGGCCTGTGGAGGGAGACCCCAGTGGCGGGGTCACCCCAGCGAGGGGCCAGGGCGAGGCACCTGACGGCGAGCTCGGAGAAAGTTAGCAGTTACCCTTCTGGGAGACGGAATGGAACAGAGTGGAGGGAAAAGCATGCCCATTAGGTACGGGTGAGTGGGTGGACAAGGGTGTCATAGCCGAGGTGGGGAATATTTGCAAAAGAGCAGGTTTGAGATCTGCCAAAACAATGAGTGCCGATGCAGGCATTTGGACTTTAAGATGACAGTGGATTTCTCCACGTAGGTAAGTAAAGAGAGTCATCTGTGTTCAGAAGTAGCATTAGTAACACTTCTAAAAATGTCTAATATTTATACAGGCATTTTTCCTAAAATTGCATATATTAACTCATTCAATTCTCAGTAACCTGATATAAAGAGCCAGTATTATGATCCCTATTTTAAAGATGAGGAAAGTGGGCAGAGATTGGCTCACTTTCCTGTGGTTCTGCCGCCGGGTGCGGGAGGGTAGTCCGGCCCCCGAGCCTGTGCTGTGAACCAGGAGGTGTGGGAGGCGAGGGGAGTCCTGAGAGAGGGGAAAGGGGAAAGGAGGCTGGGGTTTTGGAGAACACCCATATTCACTGTCCCTTAGGAAGGAAATGATTCACCTGTGGGAGTGGGGTAAAGGAGGCTGGCCTGGAGGAAGGTGGGGAGTGACCTGGGGAAAGGGGTGGGGTGGGGGGCGGAGCATCAGGGAGCTGCCCCCGGGCAGGAGGAGGGAAAAGCAGGTGGCCCTCGCTGGCCAGAAGGTCCAGCCCGCTTCTCCTCCGCATTGCCTAGTGTCACTTAGGATTGGCAGCGACCCCTCCCCAGCACCCTCGCTTCCCCACCAGTTCCCCAGGTCCCCGGCCAGAGCACCTGTGGGCACTTCGAGGGTGCGCCCTGGATCAGCACATGGTGCGACGGCCGGAGAGGCAGTGAAAACACCCGCAGGTCTCTACCGGCCGTCGTGAATTTGCAGAGCACTCTCCTGTCCTTCAGTCAGTGTTGTATATTCGCAGGGGACGTGCATACCTCTGTGGGGCAGAAGGTTGGAAAGGCCTGATTCCTTCTGAGGGCATTTGGAATCCAGTTTGAGAGTCTGGAATATTTGGCTCCTAATGAACCACAGGAATACCGGGGAAATATTTTTCTATGCCACGAATTGTTAGGCTGACGCTGACAAACTATTACACTTTAAGCTTTTTAAGTTATCTCTGTAAACTAAGATAAACACCCCCGGGATTCAGAGGAGAGAGATATAGGGTAGGGCATATGCCCAGAAATGTCAAGCACTTTCTAATTTTAGAGGAAAGACCTAGTGTCCCTACAGGGGCAAGGCTGGAAGGTCCTCTGTAGGCACCAAAGTGCCCAGCTTCCTCCACCCCCACCCCTCCCCCAGAGAGTTTGTGTTGGGCAAAACTTTGGGTGCAGGCAGCCTCTCTTATAATTCTTTGGAGACTTTTTAAAAATTGCAATTGATTTCTTAGGACCAATAAAATAGGTCTATGACAATTGTGGCAGAAGTGACTTCATAAGCATCATCTAATGAGTAAGAGTACCTGCTCCGGGAGGGCTGGTTCCTGAGCACCTCCAGTCACACAGGCACGGGAGAGCCTATGTAGGAGCTAAAACTCGTTTGTAAAGCGTATTGTCAGGGAGCTGACGGGGTTTACCTAGGGAAATGGGGACGCACAGGTGCAGATTTAGCTTTGTCCTGTGGGGAATGACAGTCTATTTTTAATCAGTGCTGCAGCATCGAAGTATGGCATGTATGCTTGCCATGAGCGGTGGCAGCTGGCTGGAGGCTGGCAGTTTGTCATCCCAGCACCAGGTCTAAAAAAAAAAATCCTCAGATGAAAAAAATCTAGACAAAATAGTCGTCGCTAGCATTTATCGAGCACTCAAGTGCTCAGTGCTGTGTGCTTCACTTGAATTATTTCATTTCTTCTCTCATCAATTCTGGGCAGATTCTGTAATTATCCATAAGGTAACTAAGGACAAGAGTTTCTTCTACTCAGAAAGTAAAATAACTTCCCCAAGTCCCCAGGACTGTGGGGGCACTCCTCTTTGCACACATAGGGTTTTCAGTGTGTATGCACTGTAACTGCTCTGCCCTGACAGGTTGCCAGTTACTAGAACCCCATGGAATCTCCATAGTTACAAAAAAAGGAAAACACAGGCTGTCGTTTCCTCAGGAGTCATACTCTGTCTTGATGGGACCCTCTGATCCAGCTCCCAGTTAGAGCCTGCCCTTCAATCAGTCGCCACCGTCGGTTGAATGAATGAATGTGTAGTGAATAAATGAAAGGAATGAACCATACACAGTCTTCTACTGAGTCAGCCTGGGAGAAAACCAGTCTGGGAAAAGTGTCCAGGATTTAGGAAATGGAGATTTTAGAGAAGGATGTTTATTTACAAGAGACACTGCATCTTAGCAGGGCACGTGGTTGCCTGCATAGCTGGTGAAGCAAATGCCTGTGACGCCATGGTAGGGAAAACCTTTCTTCTCCAGGTTCAGCCTTATCGTGGGGAAATAATGAATTCAGAGCAACATTTTAAATGCAAATGGGAACGAAGGGCAAACGAAGCAGAATTCAGTAATGTGAATGCTTAAATGATAAGGCAAAAATAAGTATTAAATAAGAAAGTATATTAAGTATAAACAAATTGAATAGAAAAAAAATCACATGCTAGATGCTCATTAAGGTTTATTGTAGTAAATATTTGTTGAATTGGATTGAATATGCCTTAGTGAAATAGACTGTACCTTAGTTTTAGCTCCATGTTTTGGGGTTTTCTTACTGCCTGAGAAGCACTGTATACAATATTTAAGAGTGCTGGTCAAGCCAAAGCAGATGCGGATTGTTTCATTATCTTGTAGCTCCTGCCTATAACTTATCCTCTCTACGCTGAGGACCTTTATTCTGAAATTCCAGTTTCTCACCCAATACCATGACGGTAATGCGCTGTTTACTGAGGTGAGCTGCTTTCTTTCCTCACGGCGGGACACCTCCATTTTGGGAGAGGCCAAACACCTGTGCTTAAGAGTGTGCATTTTGACAAGCACCTCGTTAAAATTCTGCATATCTGCCGAAGAAACCCTCTGCTCCTTTCTACGGAGGAGGGGAGGGCAGAACCACATTGTGCATCTTTTAACTTTACGCATGTGTGCATGATGGAACCCTCCTCCGAGGGTCGACCTTGGCCTCTAAAATTCAGTCCCCTCTCCCTCTCCTCCAGGAAGTGAGTGGAGGCAACGTCTGGAGTTATGTGTGTGTGCAGGGGGACAGAACTGCTGAGTGCTGGTGAACGGAGCCACATGCCTGGCCTCAAGGACAGAGTGAGCAATCCATACCCATCTCACTTTGAGATTAGAATGACCAGTGCCTATCAGGAGATACTTGCGGGGATTCGCAGAAAGCTCCCTTCCCATTAGGCTTAACTGATGGAATGTTCATTATAATTCTTTATCAAGAAACTATTAGGTACTCCTTCTAGGCCAGACCACAAGGGGCAGCAGGAGGAAGGAGCAGGCATAGTACCAAGAGAAACAGAATTTTTTAAGAAGCGTATAGGAGCTCGGTCTCTCCCTGACCTCTGGCTGCACATGTTATACCAGCAATGGGTACTGTGTGCTTAAACACTGCGCATCACTAAGGTGATCTCTTGATCCTAGAGGAACATACATTTGATTGTGATTAAACCACATAAAATTTGCCTTTTAATTTCTGTAAGGACTGTTTGTAAAGCTGATTTAAAAAATCATAACTTGGAGGACATTTAAATAAAATTAAATAAGGGCCTAACAAATAGAAGACACTCTTACTGCATATATATATATATATATGTATATATATAGTTAGTTAAGTTAACCAACACAGACATCATGTTTGGGTTGTGTTACCATCTTTGAAGGTGCAGGTAGCATCTTCTGTATGGAGTTTAAATGTCTTATCCTTATATTCTTTCCTAGCTTTTTAGTTTTATTAATATTGCAATCAAGTATCTAGCGTCTACAATAGCTCTTGGCTGAATTTTTACTGTCTGCACAATCAGGCTTCATATATCTAGGACTGTAACACTCACAGGGCTAGAAAAAGCAGTAGTTCGTGAGATTTAGAACATTCTGAAAAGGGAACATGAATACTTGTTAGGGATAAGAATGTTTCCTAAATAACCTAGTCATTAGCCAGATGGAAAATTGTCCTTCTAAATTTCTATTTTTGATGTTAGATAACTCCACATGGTGTGTGTCTCTGTGTGTGCATGCTTATGTGGACATATGTGTGCATGTGAGCATATATATATATATATGTGAGCACACGAATGTATGTGTGTGTTAAGCTGTATTGAACTTTTGATGTCTCCTGAAGTCTTCACGTGTAAATTAAAATTCTGCCTGTTTTTCTTTCACTAGCTTAAGTACTCACAGGAAAAAGCAAGATAGCAGATTATTTTAACAGCCCGATAAACAGTACTGTTTAGTATAGTGAGTGAAAATAAGTGCTTATATTCTTGAAATATATGAGAATGTTTGGGGATAAATGCTTAGATGGCTCCAAAGTAGAAGCATTGCAAATCTTTCCCTTGTTTCACATGCATAATTACTGGTTTCTTTTAATAAACCAGTGATCATATTGTATTCTACAGGCAAAGAGGGATTTCGGAAAGATTTTCACACTCATTGGTTATTAAAGTTTCCAAAGATCTAAATACTTGTAACATCCTGAGCCTGTGATTTTCAACAACAAGGCTTTAAATTCTTCTGACATTTAACAGAAGTTTCTGTGGTGTTAGAACAGTGTTCTACACAAAATGCATCATAGAACATTTGATTTTTCTCTGAGGAAAAAAAAAGTAGCAATAATGAACTCTTGAGAAAGGAAATCTAGTTCAATTGAAATTTAAATATGCATGTTAAAAATAGATCGTATATACA